ACTGCAATCCCAAGGCCTTCAGTGCGTCTCTCATGGTACCAGCCTGGCCGATTAGAACGGATAGACGGATTGCCAATTTGGGATTATGAGTCAGCATCTCCACGATCTCGTCCCGGCGCAAGCCGAGACTGGCGTATGCTTCAGAATGGTGACTGGACAGTCGGATCGCCAAGTGCAGTTGGGCGTGACGACGCTCGATGCTCTGTTCCAAATTGGAGGCGAACATCGCTTTTCTGCGTATAGCCATCAACTCGGGCAAATCCGCGATGTCGGTATCGCCCCGCAGGAACTGAAATATTTGCCCCCGAATGATGGAACCATGGCCGAACATCCGCTCCGTCATCTGGTGTTTGACGTCCTGCGCTGTCAAGTTCTCGTACAAAACCAAGCAGATAGCGAGGTGCGCCCTCATGCACATGTGGTCAAAGTGGCCCACGCACAGACATTTCAGGGGCAGCTGCACGACGGGGTCGAGCCGCACCTGCATCTCTGCAATGATGAAGGCCTTCGCAGCGGCAAACTCCCTGAATATCTTGCTCGAGTCATTGGCATCAACGTTGACCAGGCGGCGCAAGAGTTCAGTGTACTTCAAATCCAATGCTTCGCGCATCAACTCATGGAATGCCCCGCAAGCCATCTCAGGTATACGACGACCCCTCATGGGGCAAGACTTCTTAAGGTGGACAAGGTCGTGCTGCCTGCAGAAAGCTCTCGGGTGGCACCGACACCCCTGAGACCGCGCCTCAAGCCATCCGAGGGCTGATGCTATGACAGATATCAAATTGATGTACGCCCAGAAGAAGGGACTTGCATTTGCTGCCGTTACCTTCGCTACTTGCCCAGCATGCTCGTCGTTCCAGTATGCATGTTGTGGCGCTTGTCCATGCCCGCCGCCTCTGCCGGGGCCATCTCTGAATTGCACGCGATCTTCGTTCCAGAACGTGAGGGGATACTGCCTGGTAAGCAGCCACTCTGTAATCTCAACGACCGCACCCCAGACCCTTCCTCCTTCGAAGAGCGGAGGCCCACTGCGGAAGAATGGTCGCCAAACAGCGCTGTCTCCAACCAAGCAAGTTTCAACGAATCTATCCCTCGAGAAGCTGTAATGAAACACCACGCAGAAAGCTTCCACAGACTTCTTCACCTCGGGCCAAGACGGTAGATGTTGAAGTACGCGCGTCTGAGTATTTTCGACTGCATGGAACGAGCCTGGTATGTGCAATGATTGCCGCATGTGCAGCTGGGTCTGCATGTCTTCCATGACGTTGTGGAGGTGCCCGTCCGCGGCCTCCATGTCGGCGTCGTCGCCGTGGCCGTCATCCCCAGCCGTTGGGCGCGTAGGGCGCCAATGAGGAAACACGTCGCTGGCCTCGCACGAAGCCGAGGAAAGGTGCGACTCAACTCCCTGGTCGGTGACCACCGCGAAGAACTTGCCGAGTAGATTGCTGACGATCCGCCATGAGTCGCACTCGAGTCGAACGCCGCGCAGAAAAGCATGAAGCTTGTGCGCGGCACTGCCATGGCGGGACCCGATACCAACGGGAGGAAACTTGTGTTTCTGCATACATTGTCCAAGATTGCGCTGAACCTCCTGCATTGTCATAGAAGTGTTCTCGCCCACCGGCTCGTGTTGGAAACGGGCGAGCCCATCCGCCATCCTCGCCGCCCTGTCGAGGTCGGAGCCGCTAATGACAGTGTACTCATGGATAAACCTGAAACGGAAGCCGGAAGCCAAGGACTCTCACTTCTTCCTCCTCCTCCATCTCCGCCTTATCGTCCTGACCGCCCTCCCCTGGACCCGTTATTATCCTCCTCCTCGCCATGTTTCATATCGTTTGAGGGTTATGCTTTTTTAAAAAATCAATGTTGCCCGTGCGTTTCGACGATGACTCCGAAACCCCACTGGGCGCCCCAGAAGAATCCCCGCCCGAAAATTCACCCAGTGAACCAATCTCGGCCGCCCTGGGGCGACGAGTCCATCATGGAGTAGATGGCGGCATCGTCCGCGATGAGGCTCCTGTGCTTGTCCCGGTGCACGAGCATCCACACGACGTCGAGGTAAAGCTGCGACCTGCTCAATGTCGCCGCGCTGGGAAGCAAATTATCTGCCATGATCTGCTCTGCTGCATCTTGCAATGCGATTGGGAGAGTGCGCAACGCCTGCATGATCGTAGATCTGAACGTGTTGGCGCCGCCGCTGTTGTCTGTGCCCCGGGCGTGGAATGAGAAGATCAAGCACTGCACGAGGAAGTGCGGGTTGAAGCCGCCGCGGCGGTCGAGCACACGATTATAATGGCCACCGCGCCCGGGGCGGCTCGACCAACTCCACTTGGCAAATGCTTCTGGAACCAAAGACGCTGCGCAGCGGTCCAGCCAGGACACGAAGTCTTGCAATTGATCTTGCACCACATCTTGTTGATTACAGTGGGCGGCCAATATCGCTGATGACCATGCCCTGAGATGCGATGATAACGTCATGAACATGTCTTTGCTGAATAAGCCCTGGTCAGTCATGGTGGCGGCGATGTCCTTGCTGACGCCGCAGGGGTCCTGTTCTGGAGGAAACTCTTGTGAGTCTGCTACTTCAGGGTCTGCATCGATAGCGTTATGGCGACACCCATGCCATAGATTGTAAATGATCGCGGACCGTACGCAACGAAATCGACAATCGAGAGCCAATACGCACCAACATTGTGCTACCACCAAGATTGACACTGGAAACGGCAGCTGCAAGACAGTGCAGGAATCCAAAAAGGCGGCCTCAATCAGTCCATCGCTGGCCCAGCGCTGCAACAACTCACGAACGCGACCCCGGCCGCCCAGCAGAGCGCCTTCGAGCAGGCGGTCTCGGCACTCATTCGTTAGCTCAAACCATAAATGTTTTGGAGATTCAATGCCGAAGCCAGCGTGGATCATGTCGATGCCCTGCTCGAGACGGCCAGCTTCAACTACTTCGAAATACCTCATGAATGGGCGATTGCCGCCACTCCAATTTGAAATTGCTCGGGCTTCCTTTCCTGACTCGCTGAGTGCTCCTGTATATTTGCCACTGTAACGCAGAAGTGCTACTCCACATATCTGGCTGTAAGATGCATGACGGTCTGGAAACATTGAGGCGCCGTACTCTTCCAAGTCTGCCAGTTCTGCATCCTCGAATGTCTCCTGTATGAAATGTTTGTCGATCTGGTCACGGCAGTCATTTGGAATCATACCCCGGCGGCGCTTACCAGCACGGTGGGCACATGATGTGATCCAGATGGGGAAGCTGTCACTCTCGTGGCCCTGTGGGCCGTGCATCCATCATGCTCGGCCGCTCCACGCGGCTCTGTGAATCTGCTACATTGGAAAGAAAGCCGCAATGGTTGAGACAGGTTTGAGCACAAATGGCAATGGATGGATGACAACGGAGACAAGCAAGAAGCACAATGAAACCTGACTGACCAAACGAGCCACTGGAGATTCCAAGAGTTTGTGTGGCCGACCCACTCGTCCTCCTCCGCCTATTCGCGTGCGTTTGCGTGTGTGTGCGTGCGTGTGCGTGCGTGTGTTTGTGTATGTGCGTGATAACTAACATGAAAACTGTCTGACGCGTTTGTGTCGCCACGATGCCGCCGAGGGAAAAACATGTACGTGTGTGTGTGTGTGACTGTGTGTGTGTGTGTGTGCGTGCGTGTGTGTATGTGTGGTCGTGTGTGTGCGCGCGTTGGCGAGTGAGAAGGAGGGCGAGTGGCGGCGGGGGGGGCGGCGGAGGAGGACAAAGGGAGGCGGTGGACACAGGAGGAGGGTGGAGGAGGATGAGGAGGAGGAAGGAGGAGGATGGAGGAGGAAGAGAAGGACCGGGACGAGGGTGGAGGAGGACGGAGAAGGAAAAAGAGCCACAGGAAGTTCCCTGGCGCGACATGGAGCCACCCCTGGCGCGACAGCCAAGGGGCAGCCCCTTTCTCCCCATGTCATCCCTTCCCCCGGTCCCTTCTTTCCCAAGACTAGGACTGGGAGAAGGGTGGAAGAAGAACAGGAGGAAAAGGAGGGGTGGAGGAGGAAAAGGAAGACCCGGGGGAGGGTGGAGGAGGAAGAGGAGGAAAGGGGGTAGGGTGGAGGAGGAAGAGGAGGAGAGGCCGTAGGGCGGAGGAAGAAGAAGGTAAGGAGGACATAGGCTAAATGTGGAGGATGGTGGAGGGCGAACGGGAGGGCAGGGTGTACAGGGCGCGGTTCCATCTCAGGGGGCGCGCAGTGGGTAGGGACAGGGCAACGGTGAAAATTACTACTTCAGTATGTCGAAAATCTTGCAGTGGCCTTTAGCCCGCAATTCGCGTAGACGTGGATTTGCTGGTTGGTTGGTGCACACACGTGCTCTCAGGACTGTGCGTGCTGATTTTTCGATTAGCGACATACAACAGACGACCCTTATTTGGGTTCGCGCTGCTTCCACGAGTCCTTTGGGCCTCGCAAGCCTTGCTATACACGTCTCACGTGTGACCCGAGCCCCCCCCACAGGCATTCCTGGGCACATCTAGTCCTTCCCTGGGCATCCAGGGCCTTCACGGCTCGCCCTGTTCCCTGCTTGGTCTCCAGGTACATCCACTGGCCCCGCTGGCACCTCTCTGGTCCCCCTGGGCATTCCGATGTCCGCCTTGTTCGCACCAGGCAGAGTTCGAGCTCGAGGGAGGATAGGGGGCCACATGCGAACCCTACCCCTACCCCCCACGATTTCTGAGGGGGAGGGTGGGGTTCACTTCGCTCGGGAGCTCCCGAACGGAGTGAACCCCACCCTCCCCCCCAGAAATCGTGGGGGGCAGGGGTAGGGTTCGCATGTGGCCCCCGAGAGGAGGAGAAGGAGGAGGACGTAGGAGCGGAGGAGCAGGAGGCACCATTACGAGACACCAGAGGTGAGCCCCGTGCTTCTCCCGGCCTCGGCGCCCCTCTTTCTCGGCGCGCCCGGCCGGTGCCGGCGCGGGCAGGAAGAGGAGCCGTGGCCGCGGCAGCAGCGAAGGCGGGGCCCCTCACTGCAGGAGCCAGGTGGCCGCGAGCACCGCGGCCGCGCTGAGGAGGCCGAGGCCGACGCGCGGGCGCGCGCCGCTGAAGGTGCACTGCACCCTCTCGGCGATGATGGGGCTGGCCCTGGTGACCATGCTGTGGGCCGCCTCCTGCAGGCCGCCCACCTCGAGGCGCGCCATGTTCAGGAACGAACCCACGAAGGTGGTGATGTTCGGGGAGACCTGCAGCGTCCTCTCCATGTTGGGCAGTACCCTCGTGGACACGTTCTCGATCACCTTGCCGATGGTCTCGAGCTTGGCGTCGTCCGCCACCGCGCCCCCTGGCACGCTGCGGAGTGGTAGAAATGCCACGGGCTGTCTGGTTGGGTTCCTAAAACTCGCCATCGCTCGGACGTCCATTCCTGTGTTTTTGTTGGTTTCGTGCGTGGTTTTTTCGCCAAATGATCAAGGATGCTCCTCGATGGTCCTCGCCGAAGGAAAAACGCACACATCCGAGCGATGCCAAGAAAAGTCTGTCAGGGGCCCCCAGATCCACCCAGCCGCTCCCATCACGCCGACTCGCGTGCTCCGCCCACCCCCCTCCCTTCCCTCGGCAGAGCCGAGTGGAGCCACGCTCCCGAAGGCCAAGGCCCCTCGTGAACAGCACCGCGGCTCCCCGCGCGCTCCCGAGGCCACGACCGCTCGTGCAGAGACGATGGGCCAGCTCTCCCGAGGCCACGATCCCTGGTAAAAAAGCATGCCTCTGCGCTCCGGGATCAAGATCCCTTGCCAAAAAAAACTATGGGTCCGCTCCTCCTCCTCCTCCTCCTCCTCCTCCTCCTCCTCCTCCTCCTCCTCCTCCTCCTCTGCGCTCCCGAAATCACGATCCCTTGCCAAAAAAAAAACTACGGGTCCGCGCTGGACAGCCTCCAAGACGGGCGAGGCAGGCAATCCAGGCCGCCGTAACGACCCAGGATGGCCCCAGGGCGACCCAACATGGCCTCAAGACGGCCCAAGAGGCTCTCAAGACGGCCCAAGATGGCCCCAAGGCGACCTAACATGGCCTCAAGACGGCCCAAGAGGCTCTCAAGACGGCCCAGGATGGCCCCAAGGCGGTCCAAGATGGCACCAAGACGGCCAAGCAGGCCGACAAGACGGACAAAGAGCGCCACAAGACGACGCCCGACAGGGCCCGAAGAAGCCAAGGTCATTGACTTCCCTGAGGTGTTGGAAAGATTCGGGCGTCTTCACCGTTTCGGGCTTACTTCAGCTCCAGAGGGTCCTGGAGGGCCCCAGATGGCCCAAAAGGGCATCGAAATGGCAAATAATCCTCCAAGTCTGCATCGAGACATCACATGCGAGTTCCTAGACGACCCAGGACGGCCCAAAGAGAGAGAGTCAGACTAGCCCAGCAGGACCTCCGAGGGACCCAAGACGCACATAGAGAGCACCTCGACGGCCCCATGACGGCCCCGCAACGGTCGCAAGAGACCCCCCAGGCGCCCAAGAGGCCCCAGCACGGCCGAAGATAAACGCAAAACTGCCCAAGAGGGCGTCAAGACGGCCCGAAGCGGCGCAATGGACCTCCAAGACTGTCCAACAGAAGCCCGAGACAGCCCCAGCCATAAGACGGCCCAACTAAGCTTCATGAAAGCTCCTCCAGAAGTGAAACCGAAGGGCGTCACAAGTGCGCTCCTCTGCTCTGCCTCCTCCTCCTTCTCTTCTTCTTCTTCATTATCAGCAGCAGCATCAGCGGCACCATCAGAATCTCCATCATAATCTCCATCATCGTCATGAGACCCGCCACCACCAGCAATATCAGAATCATAACCGCCACCACCACCACCACCACCATCATCATCATCATCATCATCCTCATCATCATCCTCATCCTCATCCTCATCATCATCATCATCATCATCATCAGCAGCAGCAGCAGCATCAGCATCAGCATCATAATCATAATCAGCACCGTCATCATCATCATCATCATCATCATCATCATCATCATCATCATCAACATCATCATCATCATCATCATCATCATCATCATCATCATCATCATCGTCATCATCGTCATGATCGGAATCGTCGTCATCATCATCGTCGTCAGCATCGTCATCATCATCATCATCATCACCACCACCACCACCACCACCAGCAGCAGCAGCATCATCATCATCATCATCATCATCATCTTCATCATCATCATCATCATCATCATCATCATCATCATCATCAACATCATCCGCATCATCATCATCAGCATCAGCATCAGCATCATCATCATCAGCAGCAGCATCATATCATCATCCGCCTCATCATGAGCATCAGCATCATCATCATCCTCATCATCATCATCCTGATCATCATTCTCATCATCATCCTCATCATCACCACCACTACAACCAGCATGTCATCATTGTCAGCATCATCATCATCATCAGCATCATCATCATCATAATCGTCATCGTCATCATCAGCATCGCAATCACCATCATCATCATAGTTATTATCATCATTATCATAATCATCATCAGAAGAATTAGTCTCACCTCCACCATCCTCATCATCATCCTCACCATCATCATCAGATTGCTAATCATTATCGTCGTCATCGTCGTCGTCGGCGTCATCAAGAGCAGCATCATGAGCAGCAGCATTACCGTGTTCATCACAATCAATACTGCTATCATCGTGTCGTCAACATCGTCGTCGACACCATCCTCATAGAATTGTACACATATACATTGTCCTGCACCATCGTAATCATCTTCTTCCCCTCCTCCTACTACTCTTGCTCCTCCTCCTGCTCATTAACATCGTCATCACCATCACCACCACCACCATCACCATCACCATCACCATCACACCATCACCATTACCATCATCATCACCGTCACCATCACAATCAGCATCATCATCATCATGATCATCATCATCCTCACCATCAGCAGCAGCAGTACCATCATCCTCATCATCATCATCGTCATCATCATTCCTATGATCGTCATCATAATCATCATCAGCATCATCAGCAGCAGCAGCAGAATTGCCATCATCGTCATCATCAATCCTCCTTCTCATCAACAGATATTAACTGTCATGTTCACTTCCCATACCAAAGCAACTCGGATGAGCATGAGACATGTTGCGGCTCTCCCGAGCCTCGGGACACGAGGTCATACGCCGCACAGGTTCATGTCGACCGCACCCCGAAGGTGCTGGGCTGGCACGTTGACTGGATTTGCCGCAGGCAGCTGCATAGTCCGATACGTTGGCCATGATCTGGGTGATCTGGTCGCAGGCCTCCTTCGGGGTAGCCGTGGCCAAGCTGGTGGCATTGATCCTGAGGCGGACCGTGTTGGCGTTCAGCTGACCGAGGAACGGGAAGAGCGCCCTCTCCAGGTCCTCCGGGACCGTGCGCCTGAGCATCTGGATGGCCTTCAGGCTGTCCTGGTGGAGCCCTCGGAGACGGAAGCCAGACTCGTGGAAGAACTTCGCCATGATGAATCGCAGCTCCACGTCGGAGGCGGAAGTGCTGTCTTTCACGAACTGCGTGGTCTTCTGCTGGGTCTGGTCCAGGAACTTCCGGACATTGAGGTCCACCCTCTTTGTCACGTTGCGGAAGTCCTCCACGAACTCTTCGTCCTGCAGCGCCTCCGGCAGGGCCAGGACGACGTCAACCATGTAGCTCATGTTGACGCCCGCAAGGCCACCCAGAGAGTCCTCCAGCAGCTGTTCCGCGCGCGCCGTCATGTCCGTTTTGGCCTGCCGCCGATTCTCCTTGATCGCCCGACGTTCCTCGGCCTCGGCCATCCTCTCGCCCATCAAGATCTTCCTCCGTTTCTCGGTCGCCAGCCTCAGTTTCTTCATCGCAAGGTTCGCGGCCAGCTTGGCCACGTCCAGCTCCTTTTTCGACACCATGAAATCCTGCCACGCAAGGGTACATCCGTACGCACAGCTGCTTGAGTCCCACCTGGGGTGCATGAGGAGCGGTGAATACGGATATTCCTTCGCCCGCAAAGGGCGGACAAATCTCCACACCCATCACCCCTCGAGGACCCAAGGTACGATTCGGACGCGGTGGACACTGTGCATACCCTGGCGGCGGAAATCCTTCATCGTTTCCTTCAGGTGCGCCTGCTTCTCCCGGAAGATAGCCATCAGCTTCGGGTCGAAGTACGTGGACAGGTTGGCCCTGCTCTGGTTCTCGTCAGCCTGCACCTCCGTGGAGTTCCCCGAGGCATTGGCGGCGGCACCTTCGGAGCTGTCTGCGACGAACGCTTCGGCCGTCCGGGTCTCGCTAGTTGCGTTCGAAGCCTGCTCCTGACAAAGGGGGGCGGGAGTCCACAACGTTGGGAATTTGACCGCACACGAGAAAAAGGGGGAACGGGAGGAGGAGAACAATGGGTGCTGCCACTTCGGGACTTTTCCCCAGGGCCTCAGTTGCGAGGGCGGCCTCGCCCGCGGGCGCGTCAGGATCGCTGTCCGCATCCATCTCCTCCTCGGCCACCTTCTCGTCCGCGTCGACCTCCTGCAAGAGCGCTATCTGCCAACCCCTTTGGAGTCACCAGGCCCGCGAAAGTCTCTCAACACCGCACTTCTCCCCCAAAACACACACACACACACACACACACACACACACACACACACACACACGCACACACACACAACACACACACACATACACACAAATCTCGGCGGACCGACCTCGTGCACCCGACCTCGGGCGCAACGCCCCAACGATGGGTGCGGCGACCGAGCCAGGGCTGCCGCACCGCTAACACCCCGCGTGGGGGGCGCAGGCGGTGACGCGCGCTGTCCCCGACCAGGCCAGCCCGGGCGTTGAACCCCTCAAGGGCGGGCGGGTGAGTCAGAAAAAAAGACCGCCACCGACCGAGGCAGCCCAGCACCCAGGAGCGGGCGGGCGGGGCAGCACGGCCGACGGGCCCGCGCCGCGGGCGAGCGCCCCGCGAGCCCTGCGCGAAGCAATAACACGAAACCTGCGAAGCAGACGGCGCCAGGGCGCGCCGCGACCCGCCCCAGCGCGATCCCCGCGGCGCGCCTGCGCGAGCGCCCGCGGCAGGCCCGCGCGCGACAACACAGAAGCACCAACCACCGAGCGCGGGCGGCGCGCCCTGCGGTCGGGCCGCACGCGTCGCGCGTCGCACGCGCCGCGGCGCCGCGGGGCCCGTCGGCCGACCTGCGATTTGTGCCCACGCAGCACCCTGCAGGCGCGCGCCCCCCTCAGATCTCGGCGGACCGACCTCGCGCACCCGGCCTCGGGCGCAACGCCCCAACGATGGGCGCGGCGACCGAGCCAGGGCCGCCGCCCCGCTAACACCCCGCGCGGGGGGGGCGCAGGCGGTGACGTGCGCGGTCCCGACTAGGCCAGCCTGGGCGCTGAACCCAACGCTGCTGGCGCCCAGGCCCGCCACGGTCGGGGCGCGCCAGGCCTGCCGCGACCCAATGGAACCACGGGCGCAGGACGCAGTGCGCGCCGAGCGCGCGCCTGTTCGACTTATCCCGCAGGCACCGTTGCAGACCCTCGTCTGCGACCTGCGCTGGGGCTAGGGCATGAAGCGGCGGCCACCGCTTCGGCGGTCGCGTCGCCCTCGCGCTGGTGCGTATCAAGATAGCATTCGAAAGCGCGGGAACCCCAATCGGCAGCGCGGAGAATTTCACAGGGGCGGCCGTTGCACCTACGCTTCGTCTCTGCGCGTCCGCTGCGGAACGCTGTGCTCGCAAAGGACGCCGCGCTCGGCGCCCCGGCGTGCGACGCCGCCGCCTTCATCGCGCGCTGCACAGGCGCGACGATTGAGACGGCCCCGTTGCTGTCGACGCGCCGCAGACGACACAAATGCTCTCGAAAAATGCCTGCGCAGCGGGCACAATGCACGTCGCTTGCGAGTGTGCGCACCAGCACTTCCGCACCGCGACTGTCGGGCCGCCCCGGCGCTTACGCCGCGAGAAATGCAGCGTCGCCGAATCGCCCGAAAAGAGAATAACTGCCCTTGCCCTAGGCCTGCGCAGGTCCAGGTCTGAGAAGACGAAATCCTTAAACGCCAACGGGTCGCCTCGCTCAATCAAGAGGGCCTCGGAGGGCACACGCAAAGCGAGCCCCCAGGACACCAAGAAAAGCGCGCGCACGGCGCTGTCGGTACTCACATAGTCGAACATCGCCGGTAAATGCGACAGCAGCACGAAAGGCTTCGGCGGCCGCCTCACAGGGCGCCGCTCCCCGATGGCCCCACGGGCACCCCTGACCAATGGACGCGCGAAGACAGACGCGCCCCGGCCCAGCAGCTGGCATGCCTTCTTAAGCTGTGCCACGTAATTGCCGAAAGTGCGCGGGATGCGAAACTCGAGCGCGAACAAGCACACTTCGTCGGCCGACGGCGGCAGCGCGCTGCAGCCGTCTCCGTTGAGCCGACGCCGCGCGAAAGCCATCCACGCCCGGACCGCTGCCGTCCAGGAACCGAAAGAGCGCGGCGCCGATCCAGCGATTGCCACCGCTCGCGCGCGGGCCAAACTTGCCTGGATGGCCGCCGGCGGCGGGACCCCGCGATCGCCGCGCGCGATGGACTTGCGCGGGCCGCCCATGGGCGCGGGCGACAATTGCACGGCGCGCACGGCACTGTAAGCGCCCGCAAGCTCACGCCTCGCTGCGCTGTCGCCCGCAGCACCCGGCGCGAGCGCGCCTGGGCTTCCGCGCTGGCACTGATTATGAACAATTGGCATTGCGCAGGACGGCGCAGGTGGCTGTCCGCGAGGCGGTCGCGGGCCCCCCGCCGCGAGGCCTGGCGGCGGCGGGCCTGGCGGCGGCCGCGGCTTACACGCCGCGATGTCCCGCAACCGCTCCTGGGCGGTTGCGGGGATGTCTGCGAAACCATTCACGCGTTCCCAATGCGCGCCTCTCATGTCGGCGACGTGCTCGAAACCGCTGGGGATGAGCAAATTCGCGATGCGTAACACGACGGCACTGTCGCCTGCGCGCGCGCGGGCGCAGCTCGGGCGGGGCCTGCACGGGGCGGGGGCGCCCGGCACGCCAGCCTTGACCAGACCCTGCGCCAAGCCCTCGGCACCAGCGGAACACGCAGACACGCCAACCACAAGCGACGAAGCGAATGCGAACACGCGACGCCGCCCCGCGCCACGCGCGCGCTGTGCCCGCGCCTGCTGCAGCGCGCGGCGAACGACAGAAGCACGGCCACGGTCGGCCGCCCAAGGCGACAGCGGGGTGGGCTGGGTTAGGGACGACGCGCTCACAACGCGCTGCCCCTCTCCTTCGGGGACCAACGGATGATGCGAACGACGTGCTTTCCTCTATAGCAGCCACAGCGCCTCCCATGACTCAGGCGCGCGGAAACGCGCGTCCAACGCTGCCGGCACTTGGCGCGCGCCGATGGCCTGCAAGAGCGTGTATACTTCGCGTGACAGCCCGTCCGAAATTTTGCCCTTGGACGGGACTCTATGCACCCATATGGACAGAGACAATCGCGCCGCGAGGGACCATATCCCGTGGACCAGGGCTGTATGATCCCAGTCCTTGGCGCTCGCGCGCGCCACCGACCTCTCGGCGCCCGAATTGTCGGGGAATATCTCCAGCGCGCGTTCGGACAACCGCGTTTCAAATGACGACAGTCCCAGCGCGATCGCAAACATCGAGGCCCATGATTTGGCCGTCGCGCCTGCGTTGAAAGGATTGCATGAGCTTGGCGTCGGGCGCGAGCTCCGCGTACAAGATTTCGCCGTCTATGAAAAGCACGGCAGCGACACGAGGGGGCGTGCTGCGTGCGTCACAGAACATGTGCGCCGCTGGCAGCTCCCCCTGTTCCGATTGCGCGACTTCGTGCCACTTGAGCTCGAGCGCCTGGATCCACTAGTGCAAGGCGAGCTCGAGCGGCCGCCTGATACGGCTGGAGCGGCTGTGCTGATGCGCGAAAATCGGGCGCAACATTGCACGGCCCAGGCGTTTAAACAAGCACTGCGCTGCCCAGGCGAGGGCGCCTGCTAGTTTCTTAGCGGCGCCCTGGTGCAGCTTGCCGCAAGCAATCGCGCCCCGAATGATAGCCAACCATTTGACACGCTTGTCCTCTGCTGGCTCGCAGCGAATGCCGCGAGCACTAAACGAGAACAACACGCCGAGCACGACGAGCTGGGCCCCGTGCGCCAGCTTCGAGTCGGCCACCGCGCTGCCGCCAAGCGCGGCCCTGACGATCCGCGCGAAACATAATTGGGCGTGTTCCACCGCGCCGGAACGATCTGGAGAGAAGTAATCGTCTACGTACCGGAGCACGGGCAGCTTCGCGAGCTGCCTGGCGAAGTGCGCAAGCATGGCGGCCACGCGGTCCCAGTCGCGGCAAGATGCTAGCGCGCCGAACGGACACACTTGGTGCTGCGAGCACCACAAGCGGTCGCCTTCTTTAAAAATGCTGACTGAAGCCCACCTGTCGTTTGGATCTAGCGGGATGCGGCGATATGCGGAGTCGATGTCCGCTTTCCAGCGCGCGGGTATCTCGCCGTGCGAGGCGTAGAAAACTCGCGCCAATACTACAAGCTGATCGACGCCTTCCACGCTAAGTTTCTCTGCGGGGGCGCACGCGCTGTTGACCCCTGAGCGCGTGAAATCGTCCACCTGGCGCACCTTCGTGGACCCGCCAGGCTTGGACTGGGAGACCCCAAACCTGGGCACTAAGCGAATTCATTCGCCGCAGGCCGCGGCTGATTCGGCTGCGGAAACGTTGGGCTTAAACACCCAGGGCGGAGACATCCTCCCCAGCTCCGCCTCGTCCCGCGTTTTCTGTAGCAGCTCGCTGGCGAGCGGGCCATCGCGAATCGACGAGAACGCAGATGCGTTGCCTCTGAGGGCGCTGGTCTTAAGCGGCGCACAGACCGCGTCGCACGCGTCGCTCGGGCGCTCGCCTGGGCCAAGCGCGCGGCCGTTGCCGCTGCGCGCCAGGTTGCCCATCAAGGGAGCGCCGCGCGTGGAGAAATCGGCACATGCGGCGTCGTGCCAGGACGCCTCGCGCGCCAATTCGCGCACGAGCGGGATGTTGACCCCCGCGAGAAGCGGGGCAAAGTGAGGCGGCGCTGCCCTGCGCTCGGCCTCGGCGGCGCCAGAAGCTTCGAGTTTTACTGCCATGACCTCGATGCGTCGAACGCGCTGTGCGCGTTCGCAAGTGCACTGGGCAAGGCTGCGTTCGGCGCTCCACTGGATTGCCCCCAAACAATCCTGACGCACGCACGCGCGCTTGGGTTGCGCGCGGCGGCGATTGAGCGCCTCGCGGGTGAAACGCAGCGCCTCGAGATCGTCGGGCGCAAATATATTGCACAGAGCAAGCGAGTAAGGAGCGGCATGCGAGCGCGGCGGGGGCTCAGATCCGCCCAGAGGGTGCGAGCGGGCACCGCCTCTGGCCGGGCCTTTACTAGCGCCGCGGCGGACTGCGCCTGGTGCGCGGGCGGCAGGGCCCCCCGGCAGTCCAGGGCCGAAGCGGCCCCTCACGGCCCCGTCTTGAAAAGCTTGTTCGGCGTGTGCGGCGCCCTGGT